AGATGGCAGACAACAGTGTTAGGGCGCGCATGAAACAGTATGTGGTGATGAAGTTCTAGTGAACGAAGGCGTAAAACCCGCGGATATCTACAGAAGACTTCAAGCACAGTACAGTGATGAGACACTCAGCTGCAGTAAGACATCTGAAAGGTGTCAAGGTTTCAAAGATGGCCGTACATCCATGAGTGACGATCCTGGCCGTGGTGGCTTCCAGCCCACAGCAGTCATTCCAGTGAACATGCAGCATGTGGAACACCTGATCCTGGATAGTTACATAGTTAGTCTGGCTGAAAAAAGACAAAAGTTCATCCAGTTCAACCATTAAAAAAAAAAAGTTATAATCCTACACCCACAGTTGATCCAGCTGAAGGCAAAAAAACCCAGCAAAGCATGATCCAATTTTCTCCTGCAGGGGAAAAAATTCCTTCCTGAATCCCCCGAGAGGCAATCAGATATTCCCTGGATCAACTCTACCTATAAATGTTAGTATCCAGTTATATTCTGTGTATCTAAGAAATAATCCAGGACTTTTTTAAGCAATCCACTGAGCTGCCCAGAACCAACTCTTGAGGGTGGCAAGAGGCACATAACCTATTGTGAAATTGCACAAGAGACAAATATCTCTGTGGGAACAGTGAACACAATCATTAGGTTATCCTAGGATGGTTCAGACATACTGACTAATCTTTCTATGTCGAAGCTTTCCAAGCATTAGTTAAACGCTAGGTTAAGTGAATAAATGTAGCAGGGGAGTATGTCAAAAAATAAATGCAGTGTCCACTCCTTGAAATATGTTCTTTTATAATATAAACTCAGATGGCCTGGTTTGACTTGAATGCCCCTCCTAGCTGCACACCTAGCCATCACACCTAAAGTACAGTTGTGCTCAAAGGTTTGCATACCCTTGGAGAATTAGCAATACTGTATATAGGATGTAGCATTTTTAAAGAAAACATGAGTGAGCAGGCAAAGCACATTTCTTTTATTTCTTATGGGATTCATATCCAACTGTACTATAGGTGATAACAGAATGGCACAATCATAAAACAAAACAAGGCAACAAGTAAACAAATGAAATGCCCCCTGTTCAAACGTCTGCACACCCTTAGTTCCCAATATTGTGTATTGCCCACTTTAGTGTCAATGACAGTGTGCAGTCTTTTGTAATAGTTGTCAATGAGACACAAATTCCTGCAGGCAGTATAACTGCCTGTTCGTCTTGGCAAAATGCCTCCAGGTCATGCAAAGTCTTTGGTCGTCTCGCATAACTTGTATGTCTGAGATTCCCCCAGAGTGACTCGAAGATATTAAAGTCAGGAGACTGTGATGGCCACTCCAGAACCTTCACCTTTTTCTGCTGTAACCACTGGAGGGTCAACTTGGCCTTGTGCTTAGGGTCATTGTTGTACTGGAAAGTCCAAGAGCGTCCCATGTGTAACTTTTGTGCAGAAGAATGCAAATTGTCTGACAGTATGTTCTGATAATATTGCTGCTTTCATCCTGCCATCAACTTTTACAAGATTCCCTGCGCCTTTAGCTCTAACACACCCAAAAAACATCAGTGAACCACCACCATGCTTCACAGTGTAGGTTGTATCCTTGTTACTATAGGCCTTGCCCTCTCCAAACATTGCGCTTTTGGCTGTAAACTTAAAGCTTTATTTTGGTCTCTTCATTCCAGATTACAGGGTGCCAGAAGCTGAGAGGCATGTCAAGGTGTTATTGGGCATATTTTAAGCAGGTTTTTTTTGTGGCAGTGGCGCAGTAAAGGCTTCTTTCTCTTTGAAACAACCACACCGTCTTTTTCCAGAGCAGCCTGTATTTCTCCTGAGGTTGCCAGTGGGTTTACCTTTGTATCCCGAACAATTGTTCTCTCAGTTGTGGCTGAAATCATTCCTAGTCTACCTGTCTTTGGGTTGGTATCAACAGATCTCCAAATTTTACACTTCTTAATAAGTAATAGAACAGTACTGCCTGGCATGTTCGAGGCTCTGGATATCATTTTATATCCTATTCCATATTTATACATTTCTATTACCTTGTTACATCGGTCTTTTCTGCTCCCCATGGCTCAGTATTTAGCCTGCTCGGTGCATCCAGATAAGAGCTAACAAACTCATTGACTATTTTTACACTGACACTAATTGCAATTTAAAAAGCCACAGATGTGAGAAATTAATCTTTAATTGCCTTTTTAACCTGTGCATGTCACCTTGTGTGTCTGTACCAAGGCCGAACATTCAAGGATATGAAAACTTTTGATCCGGACCATTTGGATGATTTCTGTTGTCATGATTTAAAAAGAAGCCAAACACCTATGTGATAATAAGTAATAAATGGCTTCATATGATCACTATCCCTAAATAAAATACATTTTTTTTTTGCATGATCAGTCATATTTCCAATATCAATGTCAAAATTTGTGTGCAAACTTTTGAGGACAACTGTATATGGCCAAATTACTGACATCAGACATTTGTAGAAAGGACATTTTAGACAATTGTGTACCTCCATCCTTTTGGCAACAGTTTGGAGAACGCCCTAGGATGACTGTGCCCCCATGCACAAAGTACACTTCGTAAGAAATGGTTTCATAAGTTTGGTGTGGAAGAACATGAGATGCCTGCACACAGTTCTGAAATGAACCCTATTGAACACCTTAGGAATAAATTGGAACACCAATTGCTAGCCAAGTCTTCCCGTCCAACATCACAAATCCTCCTCTCGTTAAATGGGTACAAATTCCCACAGGCATGCTCTAATATTTTGTGGAAAGCCCTCCCAGAAGAGTTCTTGTTGTCATATGGCCAAATTACTGACATCAGACATTTGTAGAAAGGACATTTTAGACAATTGTGTGCCTCCATCCTTCTGACAACAGTTTGGAGAAGGCCCTTTTTGTGGTCTAGGATGACTGCGCCCCCATGTACAAAGTATGCTCCGTAAGAAATGGTTTAATACGTTTGGTTTGGAAGAACATGAGATGCCTGCACACAGTTCTGAAATGAACCCTATTGAACACCTTAGGGATAAATTGGAAAGCCAATTGCAAGCCAAGTCTTCTCGTTCAACGTCACAAATGCTCTTCTGGTTAAATGGGTACAAATTCCCACAGGCATGCTCTAATATTTTGTGGAAAGCCCTCCCAGAAGAGTTCTTGTTGTCATAACCACAAAGGAGCCAAGTCCATATTAATTCCCATGGTTTGGGAATGGGATGTCCTACAAGCTCATACAGGTGTGATGATCAGGTGCTCACAATTTTGGTCATGTAATGTATTTCATTCACCCTCATCTATTGAAGTTCACAGGATTTCCAGTATTTTCATTTTTAAAGGCTTATTTTTATTCCGCGTTTTTGCATTTAAATTATGACTTTTTCATCTGCATGTTGCATACACTTTTGCTATGTCAGATTTCTGCACAGCCAAGATAAGGTTGTTATATTCATCAGATGGTATACCCAGCCATTGATGCATTGTGCCGCCCACAGTCAGAAACTCATTCTTATGCATAGTAACAGATCACACACTGACACCCTGTCTGCCACTATTATCAGACTAGATCCTTTGTTGCTGTCCCTGCATAGCCTTGCATGCTGTCTGTGGTATAGTGTTTATATAGCTGTTTTACCTAGCAAAGGACTTTTAAAGAATAATTGCAGGAATGGTTATTGGATCAATGTAAATATGTATATTGCATACCTGGCCGATGCGCCTGGAAGCTGGAAAGCACTGCTGCTTCAATGGTCTCAACTTGTTCCTTGCCAAGCAGCTGTACCTTTGCTTACTGAATACAGGAGATCGACCTCTAAGCACGGAACTCATTTTGAGAATGTTTTGCATTGTCTGAATGAATGCAAAACATTCTCTGATTGGATGCAGTGGAGAGTCGGGCGGTGATGTCACACTCTCCACCTCATCCAATCAGAGAACGATTTGCTTTCATTCAGAAAATGCAAAGCATTCTTTTCATGACGCTCATGCTGAGCGGCCAACCTGTTTTGAGTAAGGAGAGGTGCAGCCACTCAGCAGGGGATCTGGAAGAAAGTGGAGACCACCGGAGTAGCAGTGTCTAATATAGGGATTTCCAGCTTCCAGGGGCATCAGCCAGGTATGGTATATAGATAGTTAGATTGGTCCAAGCTGGATTAATAATAACTATGTATGAGATACCCATGCATGGAATTATTCCTTAATTTTGTCCAGGAAGTCCTAAGATTTATGTAACCCTCTCTGGTATGTACTACCTTTGCCTGTGATTGGACAATTAAAGAACAGGGGAATCCTTCTGCTTACTTCACAGCATATTGCTGGTCAGAACATATCATATAGCACACTTAATTGGCACTTAGCGCTGTCCCTCCTCTCCCAGGGGATTGTGAAAGGCTGATACCGACTATAATTCAGGTGTATTTAACCACAAGCCTACAGGGCACTTATACCCCCTTCCTGCCCAGGCCAATTTCCAGCTTTCAGCGCTGTCGCACTTTGAATGACAATTGCGCGGTCATGCAACACTGTACCCATATGAACTTTTTATCATTTTTTTGAGACAGATAGAGCTTTCTTTTGGTGGTATTTAATCACCTCTGGGATTTTTATTGTTTCTTAAACAAAGCAAAAACCACTGAAAATTTTGAAAAAAAAAAAACATTTTTCTTAGTTTTTGTTATACAATTTTGTAAATAAGTGATTTTTCTCCTTCACTGATGTGCGCTAATGAGGCTGCAGTGATGGGCACTGATAGGTGGCACTCATGGGCACTGATGAGGAGGCACTGGTAGGTTGCACTGATGGGCATTGACAGGCATCACTGATGGGCACTGAAAGGCAGCACTGATACATGACGCTGATGCATGACACTGATAGGTGGCACTGATAGGCAGCACTGACTGGCACTGTTAGGCGGCACTGACTGGCACTGTTAGGCGGCACTGACTGGCACTGATAGGCGGCATTGACTGGCACTGATGCACACTGATAGGCGACACTGACTGGCACTGATAGGTGGCACTGATTGGCAGCACTGATAGGTGGCACTGATTGGCATTGATAGGTGGCACTGACTGACACTGATGGGTGACATTGAAAGGCAGCTCAGATGGGCACTGATATGTGGCATTGATGTGCACTGGTATGCACTGATATGTGGCATTGATGTGCACTGGTGTGCACTGATATGTGGCATTGATGTGGCACTGATGGGCACTGGCACGTGGCACTGATGGGCACTGGCAGGTGGCACTTCTGGGGCCACACTGATCATCAGGGCACACTGATCATCAGTGCCCTGATGATCAGTGTACATGTCCCCTCCACGGAAAGCCGGTTACCTCTCCTCTCCTCTCGAGCTGTCAGTGTGACAGCTCCAGAGGAGAGAAATGCCAATAACCGGCATTTCCATGTTTACATGTGATCAGCTGTGATTGGACACAGCTGATCACATGACCGAGCCGACATCTTCGGATCTTTCTGTGATCCGCTGTGTCCGAGGGACACAGCGCACCGGCGATTGCCGCGCTGCGTGCTCCCTGAGCCGCGCATGCGCAGTGAGAATGGTAGGACGTCATATGACATCCTCCCAGAACGAGAGAACCACCTTGCACCCGTCCTTGTACTATAGGGCGGGCGGAAGGTGGTTAAAGAAAAAAAAAATATATAACTGCGTTATTAGGTACTATTTTATATCTGTATGGGGTTTAGTTTTAAAGGTGTACATGATACGTTTAATTGCACTCACCAGCCACTTTATTAGGTACACCTTGCTAGAGCCAAGAAAATCTCCCCCACACCATGACACCACCACCAGCCTAAGACCATTGATACAAGGCAGGATGGATCCATACTTTCATGTTGTTTATGGCAAATTCTGACCCTACCATCTGAATGTCGCAGCCCATTCTCCTGACCTCTGACATCAACAAGGTAATTTCTTCCACATAACTGCAGCTCACTGGATATTTTCTCTTTTTCAGACCATTCTCTGTAAACCCTTTAAACTCTGGTGTGTGTGTGAAAATCTCAGTAGATCAGCAGTTTTTGAAATACTCAGATTAGCCCATCTGGCACCAACAATCATGCCACATTTAAAGTCACTTAAATCCCCTTTCCTCCCCATTCTGATGCTTGGTTTGAACTTCAGGAAGCCATCTTCACCACGTGTACATGCCTAAATTCATTGAGTTGCTGCCATGTGACTGGCTGATTAGCAATTTGGGTTAACAAGCAATTGAGCAAGTGTACCTGATATAGCGGTCAGTGTATATTAGTTAAATAATATTTAATTATAGAGACCTAAACAAGGGATAGCTGTAAAGGAATAGAATTGGAGGGAGTGCATACCTTCCGATTTGCCAAGATGGGAAAAAGGGACACTTTTTAACACGAAGTATGTAGGCAGAGGACCTGCTCCTTTGTCATGTCTAAGTACACCATTAAGAATTTCTGAACCCATACTGCTGCTTTCTCACTACCCTATTTCCTTTATATTACCATGTCAGATTAAACAAATTTATTCATTTGGAGACTGGAGCAACCATTCAGTTCAACATAATACTTTTAATCATGCATTAATACATTAATTTAGCGATTTTAAACCGGGGGGGCTGCACTACCATGGGGTCCTTTTTGGGTTTCTCTGAGGTGTTGTGGACACAGGATCCATTTTCCCCAGAGTCAGCCACATGCACTGTTGTGGTGCGAGCAGGCTGACCGCCAGCATCATAACAACCAAGGAAGCTCTAGGGAAAATCATTTGTTGCTATGGTGCTGGCAGGTCTGTACCATGCCAATTCATGATGCTAATCCAGGGCAGGTGGCATGCAGAGCTGCCCCATGCATTCAGGAGAGGACATAATTCCACCTCCGTCCTAACCTATGCTATGCTTCCCACTACCCTCAGATATGCTACTGCTGAAGCCGTAAGGTAGGCCCATGACTGGAAGAGGGAGGACTCGGATGTGATGGGAGGCCTCTGTGATGAGGAGACTCTTCAAAGTAGGGACTATGACAAAATAAGGGACTCTCAAATAGGGGGGGGGCCTCTGATGGGAAAGGTGGGGATTCTGATGTTTATGAGAGTATTCTGTGATGAGGGGACTCTGATGGGAAGGGGGAGACTTCTGATTTGATGGGGCACACTATTGTCATGGGGAGACTCTGGCATGAAGAGAGGTTTCTGATGTGAAGTGGGAACTGTGATGTGAAGGGGGGACTCTAGCATAATCTGAGGTGATTGGGGGACCACTGATGTGAGGGGTCTTCAAATCTAAAGTTAATTTCATCAAGGCGGTAGTGTGTATCATCCCCAGCACAGGTTTCCCATTGATGGAAAGCAATATGTTCATTTTCTTACATTTTAGACTTGGGTGCCTCAAGATTTCCAGTACTGTTAAAGTGCATGATTGAAAAACAGTTGAGAAAGGCTGCATTCATTTGTAGAGGTCTACATACAGACAATCATATAGTCAATGAAGGGACTAAGGAACTGGGTCCCAAAGAGGACTTGTCCCTCCAGATGATGGACAGTTTTGGATCTATTGGGTTGAGTTGGGAGTTTGCTAGTAAGCTGTTCAAAGAAGAATTACAAAAACAACCAGCTTGTATTTCTTTTGGAAAGTACAGCTGGTCCGACGCGTTCTGTACTGCACAAGCAATATAAACCAGTCTTACCACACCAATTAAATTGATAAGGGTTGTTTGGTACCGGTATGTCAGGCCGGGTTTTTTTGGGAGACAGTACACCCAGCATATGATTGTTGTCTGCTGTTGCGGAAGAGATGTTTATAATATTATTAATGTAAAAAAGGTAAGTTGACCTTTGCACTGAATGCCAGGAAAATGCAGAATAGAGATAAATATCGAGCCGTTAGTTGTCTAGCTCAGCCTTTCTCAACCAGGGTGCCCAGGCACCCTGGGGTGCCTTGAGGTTTCTTCAGGGGTGCCTCGGCAAACTGCCTAAACATTGTCCAAAAACTGTATACAAGTTAGTGGATGGATCAAGCCTGCCTTTTAGTTACACAAAGCCACAGGTTTTGCACCATTACAACCTTCTATCCGCCAGCATCCTAACAACTATCAGTTGATATGGAGGATGTCTGTCGCCTGCAGAGCATCCTTGTTTGACCCTCCCCTACCCCTCTCTGTCAGTAATGGGGGCACATCAGCTAAGTGATAGAGAGAAATTGAGGGGAAGAGAAACATTGGAATACTATTCAGTAACAGTGTGCAAAAATGTATTTACATTGGAAGAATAAATCCCCTCTAACATTGGCTGTCCTACATGCGTGCGTGTTGCTGCACCAGGTAAAACTATCAGAATAGTTTTTTTTTTTTGCATTTTAGAATGGGGTGCCTTGAGACTGTCCATAATTCTAATGGGTGCCTCAAGACTGTTCATAACTTTAAAGGGTGCCTTGACTGAAAAGAGGTTGAGAAACACTGGTCTAGCTAGTTGTCCAAGGCTAATTCTCATTGTTAAAGGGACGTAATGGCACTCAAATTCCCTCAGTGGGATTTTCTAAAGGTTGCAATGATAGGAGTCAGTTGTCGTGTCCTTAGATAAAACCCAGGAGAAGAGGACCTTAGTTTGCGGGGAGATCATCATATGTAAGAGACCCAAGAATTGAAGCCTATCCAGATGAGCTGGGACCTTAAATAGGAAAGAGAGAGAGACAACTCCAATACTGTGGCCATTGGATATCTCCATAGTTTATTGAATTGACTTAAAAGAAATATACATCAATAAGTTGTTTGTTAAAGTGCAAGAAAACATTAAAAGTAATTTCTGGAAGTTAAGTAAATATTGTTGTGCAAACAACTGTCATCTGGGTCTCTTGTTCTTCTTTCTCAGAAGGTCACAGTTAAGCTTAAGCCTTGAAACATGAATAACTGATTGGTCCCTGTCTCTGAAAGAGGTAGTTGGCCTGCTAATGGCCAGTGTGTGGAGTATTTGGGCTTCTCTGCTCCTTAATTTACCTGTGTGACTTCGGGCTTTGGTTTCCTGATGAACCTGATGTCGGCATGGGGCTGTGGAGCAGAAGCCTGAAGATTAGAGATGAGCGAATTATTCAAAAATTCGATTCGGCCGATTCGCCGAATTTCAGGAAGAAATTCGATTCGATGCGAATTAATTCGCTACGAAGTTAACTTATAAAAAGGGTTTCTAGGCTTCAGAGAGCCTTTAAATTAGTGCAGAACACTGTACCTTTAATTTAAATGCCCTTGGAGATGAGGAAGGAGAAGGAGAAGGATGAGAAGAAGGAGAAGGAGAAGGATGAGAAGAAGGAGAAGAAGGATGAGAAGAAGGAGAAGGAGAAGGATGAGAAGAAGGAGAAGGAGAAGGAGAAGGATGAGAAGAAGGGAGAAGGATGAGAAGAAGGAGAAGGATGAGAAGAAGGAGAAGGAGAAGGATGAGAAGAAGGAGAAGGAGAAGGATGAGAAGAAGAAGGAGAAGGAGAAGGAGAAGGAGAAGGATGAGAAGAAGGAGAAGGATGAGAAGAAGAGAAGGAGAAGGATGAGAAGAAGGAGAAGGATGAGAAGAAGGAGAAGGAGAAGGATGAGAAGAAGGAGAAGGAGAAGGAGAAGGATGAGAAGAAGGAGAAGGAGAAGGATGAGAAGAAGGAGAAGGATGAGAAGAAGGAGAAGGATGAGAAGAAGGGAGAAGGAGAAGGAGAAGGATGAGAAGAAGGAGAAGGAGAAGGATGAGAAGATGGAGAAGGAGAAGGATGAGAAGAAGGAGAAGGATGAGAAGAAGGAGAAGGAGAAGGATGAGAAGAAGGAGAAGGATGAGAAGAAGGAGAAGGAGAAGGATGAGGAGAAGGAGAAGGATGAGAAGAAGGAGAAGAAGGAGAAGGATGAGAAGAAGGAGAAGGATGAGAAGAAGGATGAGAAGAAGGAGAAGGATGAGAAGAAGGATGAGAAGAAGGAAGAGAAGAAGGATGAGAAGAAGGAGGAGGATGAGAAGAAGGATGAGAAGAAGGAAGAGAAGAAGGATGAGAAGAAGGAGAAGGAATGAGAAGAAGGAGAAGGAAGAAGGATGAGAAGAAGGAGAAGGATGAGAAGAAGGAGAAGGATGAGAAGAAGGAGAAGGATGAGAAGAAGGATGAGAAGAAGGAGAAGGATGAGAAGAAGGATGAGAAGAAGGAGAAGGATGAGAAGAAGGATGAGAAGAAGGAGAAGGATGAGAAGGAGAAGGATGAGAAGAAGGAGAAGGAGAAGGAGAAGGAATGGAGATGATAGGAAGAAGGATGAGAAGAAGGAGAAGGATGAGAAGAAGGAGAAGGATGAGAAGAAGGAGAAGGAGAAGGATGAGAAGAAGGAGAAGGAGAAGGATGAGAAGAAGGAGAAGGAGAAGGATGAGAAGGAGAAGGATGAGAAGAAGGAGAAGGAGAAGGATGAGAAGAAGGAGAAGGAGAAGGATGAGAAGGAGAAGGAGAAGGATGAAGAAGATGGAGAAGGAGAAGGATGAGAAGAAGGAGAAGGATGAGAAGAAGAAGAAGGAGAAGGATGAGAAGGAGAAGGATGAGAAGAAGGAGAAGGAGAAGGATTGAGAAAG